TCCTTGAAGAAATTTATTAAGCCAAATTAAATTTTATTTATACACACCTGTATTTACATACAGTGAAAAAGGTTACGTTTAGAAAAAAGAACAAAGATACAATATATGTAAGCACACACATACATACATATATATGTAAGCACACACATACATACATATACATGTATATATATGAGAATGTTTTGTGTGTGCGTGTGTGTGTGTGTGTGTGTGTGTGTGTGTGTAAATTTTAAATCCGACATTGTTTCTAATTAACAAAATTTACATGTAGTAGGTGCAAATATTTGAACACCCGATCCTCGGATATGGAAATGAATGCAGGTTCGATTCCCATGAAGAGGCACATTTTCTTGAATAAGGCTTTCTATTTATATACGAGTAGACATTAATTGAAGTCTGCTTAAACACGTGCACTCATTAAATATAACGTTTAGTGTATTAGGAAATACAAAATATTAATAGAGACAATATTAATAAATGAAAGTATATATAGTATATATATATATATATATATATATATATATATATATATATATATATATATAGAGAGAGAGAGAGAGAGAGAGAGAGAGAGAATGGGTGAAGACAGAGTAAATAAGAAGAGAATATATTTAAAATGTTATCGAAGATTCCATAGTTAAATTATAATTGCAAGGTGACTGTCTTTCATGCCTTATGTTATCTCCTGGCTAGATAGATAGATAGATAGATAGATATGAACAGAATTAGATAGATTGGAGTAATTGACTTATTTAATGAGAGACACACTGGTCGACCGTATGTTTTTAATTTGTCTTATATTATTTTTTGACGAAACACAATCATTTTGTTGTTATGTCTTTTTGCCCAGCATATTGGATGATTTGGACCTATTGGATATCAAGCTACATCCGGTAGCCTTAGTGATTCAGTACCTCTGATTGTTCATGCTGTGTCAAGCAAACGGGTATTACTCCAACACATAAACCCTCACTGGTAAATCTAATGCTTTTAACCAATTGAGTAAAATTATCTGACACTGTTCCTAATGTTTCAATTACAATAGAAACAATCTCTACTTTTTGGCAATCGTCTTGAGTTCGTACTTTAAGTCTATGTAGTTCTCGCTTGTCTTCCCTTCTTTATCTACTATCCTGGTATGAACCGAACAAGCAACGTCAATAAATTAACAAATCTATCTGTACGTGAATGTTCAATGACTTCGTTTGTCTGCTCATATCCATAAAATCTTGACTATTTCATCATCAATGTCCCTTTTTCAGGTTTAGGATTAGACAATTTATCTGCACGCTCAAATTCAAATATTTGGAAAAAGATTCCAAGATAAACCCCTAGTAATTTTTTTTTGTCAGTCTTCCGTGCAAACATAGTACATTCCAATTCAACAGGTGCAATAATTTCATCTTCTTCACCACACAATTGCCATGCTGCAGAAATGTCTCTGTTGTCGTCGTTTGTTCTGATTGCTCTCGTTTTAATTACCTGAGCTGCAATTAAAAATCCTTCAATTCTTTTTTTTTTTTTTTTAGATCACATTTTTCCAGCCATTCAAATGTTTTCTCTCTTCGTAATTCTCTGTTTTGAAAATAAAATTCTTATGTAAACTTTTGGAGTCTGTACCTTACTTTTTAGATTTAAGAATATCATTTTTCTCTCCATTCCACAACAATCTTTATTCTTTTGTTACTACAATCAGCAGTATTTTGTCCCTCCCAGTGGTATATCTACGTAATTTTTCCATTTCTATTACAACACAGTCTTCAATGTTTATTATACTCATTCTTCCACCCAATAAGCTAAAGTAGTGTCTGTCTACATTGGTTTCAGGATGTAATGTCCTATATATGGTTAATAGCCTTCTTGTCTTTCTCTACATGCTTTCTCGCTCTTCTTTTATTATTATTATTATTATTATTATTATTATTATTATTATTATTATTATTTCCTTTCATTTCTATTGTTTACAAATTTCCTTCTGGGTCCCAACCAGAGATCTAAGGTCAGAAATTGCATCATGATATTTTCCACTGAACATTTTTGTAAAAAATCAAAAAAAATCATATAAAATAAAATAAAAATAAACAAACTTAGATCACAAATAATTTACATAGAGAGCAGTGCTTCTTCGTAAAGTGTGAGCAGCGCTTGAGAAAACCAATTTTGTCTTTCTTTAAGGCATTGACTACAAGGGATCCCATCAATGAGTCTATCGGAACCTTTTTCTCAATTAAAATGAGGGCTCCAAATACTAGTGCAATTATTTATGTCCTCATGCGCCACATTTTTTAGATTTCCAATTCAAGATCCTTGTATTTTGATAGTCTGTTGAAGATCCTCAGAGATACATTATAGACTGCAGAAACTGCAATGACAATGAGAAAGCACATTCTGTTTTTTGGTCTTCGATTACGACGTCTGCGCGATTAGCTTTGATTGTCCTGTATGTGTTTATTGTAAAGTCCCATAATATTGTTACGGGCCCTATCTCTGCAACAGGATGTAGCTGATGTTCATATCAGTTTCTTGCAGTTTCATTCCCGTAAATGTTGAATATTCTCAGGTGTAAATATCATTATTTACATTGTTGGGATTATCATCCACATCTTTGTTGCCATATTTATCACAGCGTTTCGGCCGCTGTACGCTCCGGCCTTCTTCAGGTGGTTGGAATGCCGAACTGAACCCTTTATTTCCCTCGCTGGGGTGGACTGTTCTAGTTCCACGTGCCATGTCTAATGGATGTCAGTTATCAGTTATTTCCAGTTAATTCCCTCTCCAAGTTCTCCACTGCCTTAAACACACTCTTTGGGTCCTAAAGAAGACGGAAACGTAAAACGACCGAAACGTTGTGAAGATTATGGCAACAATATATATATATATATATATATATATATATATATATATATATATATATATATATAAGTAACTCTCAACAACGTTTTACTATTTACTGTCTGTTCTTGGATATATCTTTAATAAAAAACTTTAATAAAATAAATAATTTAAATTATTACAATAATATTATTTATTATTATACAATTAAATTTATATAATTAATTATATCTATATCTATAATTCTCAAAATGTGTGTATGCATGTGTGTGTCTGATCGGACATTGTTTATGCATTTCCACTGTTTTCATCCGATTTCGATTATTTTTTTTGTTTGATAGATAATTCTTCAGTGCTGATTTTGAGTTCAAATTGTTGGCGACAATGGCTCTCCACTACTTCCTGTACATTATAACTCTCAGCAACGTTTACTATTTAATAACAGTTCTTGGATATCTTCAGTGTAACTTGATATATATATATATATGAAGAGATAGAGTGAGAAAAGAATAGAGAGAGAAAGATAGAGAGAGAAAGATAGAGAGAGAAATGTGTGTTTGTGTCAGTGCGTGTGCGTGCGTCGTAGTCATCCTCGTATTCAGAAAGTTGATCTTGATAGTATAGTAATTTCGACAGTTTAATCCAATCTCCACTATTTTTGGGACCAGTTTGGTCGATTTTTTTTATTCGGACCAAAATATACATATGAATGTGTGCGTCTCATTCTAACCGTATATATGAAGTTGTGTATCCATGGGTATTAACCGAGTGTATGTGCTTACATGTGTGTTTTCGTCTGTCGTACCGATTGACAATGGACTGTGAGTAGCCCAGATATCATTACACAACCTCAAAGACATCCTTCGTGTTTAACCAAAAACATATTTTCATTTGCACTATTTCGTAATAGATATTTCCGGCAGTTCAAAATAAGATCTGGGTGTATCTGTCTGTCGCATTTTAATTTTCGGACAGTCTTTTCTGCTGTCTGTATAAATGTTTACCAGTGTATGTGACTGGTCTTTTTGTGAGCTGTTCGACTTAAGAAGAGCTGAATATATTGCTGTCGCTCTATACACCGATGAGCCAAAACATTGTCACCTATTAATAAGGTATTAGTCTTCCATATGTCTATGAAACCATTCTTAAGCTGATCAGGTATGTACTCCAGATGATTTCCAATGTTCGCTCTGGGATCTGATGTTAGAATGTTAACAACAATTCCTATTACAGCTGCAAGTTGCATTGAAAATTTTCCAGTGACACGGTAAAGTTGTCTCCAACTGCAGTGCTGTAGTGATTACTAACCTGCTGAAAGCTGCCATTGACATCGTAGAAAAGTGTTGCTCTGGGGTGGTTTACCTACCAGCTCGTGATTTTCAAAGATGTGATACGGAACAAGCTCACATACGCAACACCTTCCATGTAGGATATAATGTTTCCAAGGAGAACGTTCTGCAGTCATAACATTGCATTCACCAGCTTTTAGTTTTCCAAGAGTGCATCTTAGTCCCAAATTTTCCTCAGGGTACTGAGGCACGCGTACCACTCTATTTAGGAGAAAACGAAACTCATCAGAAAAGCGACATTCTGGCATCCACGCACCCGTTGAAAATGATTTTTTCAATGGACATTAACATAGATACTCTGACAAATCTGCAGCTATGTAGACCCATGCACAACAAGGATCGGTGTACTGTGTGTTGTAACACATTAAGTTTTTCATCTTCTGCCACAGTACACCCTTTGCTGGTTCGTACTTGTCAGGAAATCTTCCGTTCACTTTTCGCATCCATAAATCTTAATGTGTAAGTCGTAATCACCTGGATACAACAATTTGGTTTATATTAAATCATTCATACATTTCTTTTTGAGAAATAATTACGCCATTCAACAGAACAAAATGATGTATTCGAATCTCGCAAAATTTGAAGCAAACTTGCGCAGTTGTTAAGAAACTGGAGCTGTCATTTTGGTCACACGTCTCTGTTCATGATGTTTGGGATCATTCTTGTAGATGATAGAATGTTCGCAAGAGAGAGAGAGAAAGAGAGAGAGAGAGAGAGAATGGGTGAAGACAGAGTAAATAAGTAAGAGAATATATTAAAAATGTTATCGAAGATTCCATAGTTAAATTATAATTGCAAGGTGACTGTCTGTTTCATGCCTTATGTTATCTCCTGGCTAGATAGATAGATAGATAGATAGATAGATAGATAGATATGAAAAGGTGAAAATATATATGAACAGAATGAGTCAGAAAAAAATAGAGAGATAGATATGAACAGAATGAGACAGATTAGATAGATAGATAGATAGATAGATAGATAGATAGATAGATAGATAGATAGATAGAGAAAGATAGATAGATAGATAGATAGATAGATAGATAGATAGATAGATAGATAGATAGTGATGATGATCTTGTCAAGTCTGTCAATGGTAGTAACAGATCCTTACTGTTACTACTAGCAGTCCTAACAATATCAAGTACGGGTTAGTTTTCTCAGTTCTTCAGTACACTTTTGCTGACTTTAGTAATGCCAGTCCTTGGACAGTTTCGTTTCGTCTTCATTATTGCAATCATTCCAATATCCTTTCCGCAATATGCAATATATTTTGCATTAGTCCACCGTACTTTTTTCAAAAAAGTAAATTTTGTAGCCAATGCCGTAACGACGGCTAGAACTGGGTCACGTCTTCATTAATTTCATCCTTTTAAAAAGTTTAATTAAAGATTCATTTATTTTTAAATAATGACTGAAACCAAAGATCATTTAGGGGACAACAAAAGAAATTTGATCGAGTTTTATCAATCCGTACAAGGCTGTAAATTTCTAAGTTATGTAGCGTACCACATCCCACTGATTAAAACATCGGTTATAAATAAAATAAATGTTGATACTGAATGACCATTTGGAGAAAAATCAAAATGGAAATTTTAATAAACAGGAAATCGAGCTTAAATGCTATCCAGACATATGTGAAGAATGCTAAAACATATATAAATGTCGCATAAAACCTGTAAATCTATAAGGATTAAAAGCTTGTGTTGTAAGATAGGAACTCCTACAGAAAGCAATAAATTAAAACAAGAAAAATAGACTATACATCATTTGTAAGAAGACACAATGTATGGTTTTAACCAAAAATGCGAAGTAAGAATTGGAGATTCCAAAATCAATCATGTATGAAAATTTGAAGTGTTTTAAAATGAAAATAGGACACCAAAACTCAAAGGCGCATTGGAATATGTAAATAGTCTTCCAAAAGCTAAGCAAAGTATTAAGAAATACGAAAATTTATGTAACATCAGTCTTTGCTCTATGGCAATGAATGTTGAACCTTCTCAAAGCTGAAGAATGGACTTATGGCAAGAGAAATATGATTCTTAAGAAGAATGCTATAAATACAATGGACGGAACATTTGAGTAACGAGGAAGTGTTAGGGAAACTGAAAACATAAATGACACTTATAAATAAAATCAGAAAGGCACAATTAAAATTACTAGGACACATAATGAGGGCTTGGAGAACTCGACGCTCGTAGGGCAGATTGAAAGCAGGAGGGAGAAGTAACTTAACTAACGAGTTTCTTGAAATGAGGAGTTGAGAGGGAAAACGAAAAAATAAATCTTTCTCAGAGCTACAATCAATGAGAAATTGTGGCCGGAAAAAAAATACGGCAGATAGAAGTAGAAGAACTGAAAAAAAAGCATCAAAATATCCCCTCGGTAATCGCTAAAATGTTTTACTGTCATTTAAATATTAGGTTGGTGCAAAAATAATGTCGTTTTTTGACGTTAAGTTGAACGTCAAAAAACGACATTACTTTTGCACCAACCTAATAATTGCTATGTTTTTTGTTTTTTTTTATCAAAGCTAACAAAAGTTAAACCTTTAGGACAAAACCAGCATCATGTGGATTGAAGAAAAACTGCTATTTTTTAAAAGTATGAATCCTCGTAGTGAAAAATTTTAGTGCAATATGAAAAGTTACTAGAATCAAAGGGAACATGCATTCGTTAAAATATCACTCTCTCCCTTCAAAAATTATCTTTTATTTTTCATCTGTCCAGCTTAAGATGTGCAGGTAGCGTAAAAGATATAGGCACAGAATCGGCGAAGCGAGTTCAAGTTGTGTCCGAAGCCGTTGTATTTACTTACGCACAAATACTGTAAAAAAAAGGTATGCATCCATCTCTTCAACTTCCACCAGCTATGGATTAAGTATACGACAGACTAGACTCTTTAACCGTGAGCGCTGTGGTTGTGAATGTATACTCTATCAATGGATTAAATAACAGAACCGGCTGGGCCTTTGCTGACAACCAGTATAGCAGAAGAAAAATTCTTGGCATGAAGCTAGTAACTACATGCCGTAAAACCTAATTGCTCTTTCAGCGGCACCTGTGTCCCTAGATTCAAGTTATGGATAGAGAAGTTACCGAGAAGAATGGACTCAATTGAAATGGTTAACAACCAGGCGAGGAGAAAAATAACTCTTGGCGTGGAGCTGGCAACTGATGCTGTGGCCCACAATACGCCACAATGTGTCCTTAGGTTCAATCGACCAGCAGATCAAGCTTAAACTTGGTAGGGGATTTATCGTCCAACATAACAACAAACTGAAGCATACTTCGAAAAGTCACCTGCAAATTCTCCTAGGGAAATAAGTTTACTCTAATGGAATGACCTAAAACTAATCAAATATTTTAGGCATGAATTGAAAACTGCGGTTCATAAACTAAAGTTCTCATATGTAGCCGTTTTCAAAACGACCCTGCTCAGAAGAATGATCAAGAGATGTACAAGTTTTATTAAAGCCTACGGAAAAATGTCTCTTAGCTGCAATCGGTGGTAAACGAACCGTAACTAAGTGTACTTGACGGGGTGATTATAATAAAGTATTAACAATAATGAAGATAAATTAATGATATTAATTCTCTCTTACTTAATTATAACAAACAGAACGGACGTAATTAAAAAGAGAATAAAAGGGAAAAACAAATACAGTAATTTAGTACGAAGGAAGAAAGAGTTAAAGAAAATAATAATAATAATAATAATAATAATAATCCTTGCTGCGCAGGACCAATGCTTGCTAACTAGGAATTATCAAGCACATATACTAAAATATTGTGTCAGCCCAAAATGCAGTTTCTGTGATAAATATCAAGAAACGATTGATCATCTTGTATCAGGTTGTACGGTGTTGGCACCCACTGAATATAAAACCCGACATGACAGAGTGGGCCAATATCTGCACTGGAAAATCTGCAACTTCTACGGGAAAAAAACTGAAAGAAACTGGTATGAACACCACCCAGACCCGGTTACGGAGATAGGACCTGTTACAATTCTATGGGATTACACAATACACACTGACAGAACAATCAAGGCCAACCGGCCAGATATTGTTATTAAAGACCACAAACAAAAACGGTGCCTCCTTATTGATATGGCAGTCCCTGCTGACTGCAATGTATCTTTGAAGATATTCAAAAGTTGTCAAAGTACAAGGACCTTGAAATAGAAATCTCGAAAAATGTGGCATATGGGAAACATCAACAATCCCTGTTGTAGTTGGAGCCCTAGGACTGGTTGGAAAAGATTGCAGTAGACTAATTGAAGGGATTCCTGGAAGTCCATACCTCAAGGAGATACAAAAATTGTTCTGACAAGTACAGCCCACACCTTACGAAGGGCTTTATCTATGTAATTTAATTTTTTTTTTTTTTTTTTTTTGTCAGTGGAAAGTGTCATGACGCCATTTCTAACCTTAGGTCACTGGGCGGGACCCGGAAAGAAATGTGTAAACGCCAGAAATCAAAGAAAATAAAAATAATAATAATAATAATAACGGATGAGTAGATCTCTTCAAAGTTGACGGAAAGACTTGAAGCAACAGAAATATGGTTCTACAAAAGTATGCTGGAGATAGCATGAACCGAATAGGTGAGCAACGACGAGGTTTTAGACAAAATAGAAACAAAAAGGAAACTTGTAGTTAACATCAAGAAGAGACAGTTGAAATTTCTGAGGCACATGATGTGGAAAGAGGGCTTGGAAAATCTGATACTCACAAGAAAGATTGAGGGCAAGAAGAACAAAGGAAAACAACACATAAAAGTGAGCTGTTATGGCGGAATAGGGCGTAGGAAAAATGACAAAAAGACAAAATTTTCTTAAGGCCTACAAAGGGCAGAAAATAGTGAAGATCCATGATCGCCTATGTTCCGAGAGGACACGGCACATAAACAAGTTATCCATCTTCACTAGTGAATATATTGAATCAACTGCTCTGTCTACTGCTAGGAATGTTGGATCATTGCATCGTGCCAGACATGTTGCATATTGCATTTTTATAAATCTACCATTCTTCAGATTCGTGCATTGAATATTGCTGCCATATCTAGTCTGGTGCTTCTATATCTCAAGATTCTCAAAAGAATCCAAAGAAAGGTCACTAATGGAATCAGTCCTGCCTGCCATTATCGGATGGATTCCCTGTCTCTTTTATAAATATTTGCATGAATTTAACCGTACAACTAGGTGTCACCGTTTTACTGTTGAACTCAGTCAGTTAGTTATGTGCCATGCACGATACATGACTGACGAGGTAGATTTTTTCCCGCAGTAGGTTGCCATTTCTTTCTGCAGTAGACCAGCTATAGTCTGTCCTGCTAATTACCCATAGCTAGAGGGAGAATAAGAGGATCCATACCCTTTCCAATGGCATTATCACTTATTAGCAATGGATGTGACTGGAACTCAAACTCGGATCTTCGATTCCTCAATCCGAGCCGCTATCCATTACTACACGGTACCTCCCTCTTGTTGAACTAGTTAGATGTAATCATAAATTATATTCTAATAGTTTCCTTTGTTGCAATTCTTGTCTGTGTAACTCTCTTCTAGTTTCTTGCTTCACTGTCACAAGCTTCAAAAATTTCTGTCTTCTTGTACTTTTATAGTTTTTTTTCGTCACTAAAGTCTTTTCATTCTCTTTCACTCTCTAAGAAAATACCACTACGGCCCCCTTGCGTCTTAGTGGCATTATCGCCTTATTTGGAGTGAAATGATTAAAACATGACTGTATACTGTCTATATTTCTGAGATGAGGTATTATGTACATTATTTACATTATTCGGACTATTGTCCTCATCTTTGTCGCCATATTCATTACAACGTTTCTCCTGTTAATTTCTCTCTGAAAGTTCTCCACTGCCTTAATCGGGTATTGAACTCACACTCTTTGGGTCCTGTCACTGGATCTAACCAACGCCTTTATCCACTGTGCCATGTGTCCTTGAGGGAAATTAACAGGAGATAACCGATAACTGACATCCATCAAACATGGCACGTGGAACTAGAACAGTCTACCCCAGTGAGCAAAATAAAGGGTTCAGTTCGACATTCCAACCACCTGA